GGGTTTAAGGTTTAGGGTTTTATTTGGGGAAAACCTGGGTGGCAATTTGGGAAAAACTTTCAAACTTCCCTTACGGTTTTTAAAGAGGCACCTATTCATAAATACTTTTCAGGGCCCCCAAACTACAACCCAGAAAAGAGGTTTTTAGTGGGGGTTTCGGGTTTGGGGGTTTAGGGATTTTAGGTTTTAGTAGGGCTTTGGGGTTTAGGGCTTTAGGTTGTAGGGACTTTAGGTTTTAGTAGGGCTTTGGGTTTAAGGGCTTTGGGGTTTAGGGAGTTTAGGTTTTAGTAGGCTTTAGTGTTTCTGCAAGACCAGCACGCAAGCCCGAACAATCCTGAACATCTTAGCCCTTGCCCTAAACCCTAAGCCCCTAAACCCTAAACCCTAAACTAAACCCTAAACCCTAAACCCTAAACCCTAAACCCAAAGCCGTAGCAGCAGCCTTGCGTTTGTTAGATACCGTCTTTCTGCAGCCCGAAAGCCTCGCCTTTTGTAACTCAGGCTGCTATAAACCTCCAAGGCCCAGGCCCTCCTAATCACTGCAACAAAACCTGAACCCTGTTTTCAGCTTAGCTTCTTATTATCAGCCCTATAATATAGAGTTTATGGTTTAGGGCTTAGGGTTTAGAGTTTAGGCTTTGACCCGGTAGAAGCCATGAGCCGCAAGATCTTGGCTCAATGGGAGTTGCCGCTTACGCCTGAGATCCCGGTGAAGGCCTGGGTTCAGTTCAGGATTGCTAGATTGGGGTTCCTTGTTACAGGGATCTTACAAACAACGTTGCCGAAATTGGTTTTGCCTCTCTTCTGAAAATCGCAGATGCACCACTAGCAGTAGTTTTGAATCTACTACTGCTGCGGCATGTTGCGGCTCTTGCGGTGCAGCAGTCCGTCGCCGATAATATAGAAGCCTAAATACTTCCCAACATTGCTGTGGGGGTTCCTTATTTCGTATAATATGCCGTCATAAGCCCCGAAACCCCACATTAATCGCTCTTGCTGGACCATGGCTTGGTTCAACTCGTATCTTGGATTCCACCATGGCGCATGTTCAGCTTTTGGTGTTCAGTTTTGTACTTCGCCCGTCGGTGGTGGATTGTCCAGTCCGACTGTATTTGTTACTTGCCTCACTGGTTTTGGGATTCATCTCATTCCGGTGATTAGATTTGGACTGTGCTCCGTCAATGAGCGACCGAGGGACGACGATACTTGTTGCGATGGTGACCGGCTGGGCGGGATGATGGTGGCAGATAGTGGCGATGTTGATCTTGAGGATGGGACAGTAGTGCTTCTGATGGAGGGGACGGCTGTTTCCGATGTTGCTTGCTGGCCGTTGTGACGATGATGCTGATCCGTGGTCGTCCGGCACACCTGAACTTCGAGGCCTCCCCACTCGGACACAAGGAAGAAACCGGAGCTTATAAGCCTCCAAGCCCTGAGACCCTTACCTCGCAGAGGCGTCGGCGATCCCGAACTCCATGGCGGGCCAAGGCGGAGACAGTGCGGGCCCGGGGGGCGGTCCTTCGAATTCCGATCCTCGTCCAAGTAGAGCATTGCAGGAGCTCGGCTCAGAGTAGTCCCCGGTTAGGGAAGCTGGATCCGTCTTAAAACATCCTGCTGCTGCCTCCCACTACCACTGCCACTGCCACCAACTGCCATTGCCACTGTCCCTGCTACTGCCACTAACTGCCATTGCCAATGCCACTGCTACTGCTACTGCTACTCCTACTGCCACTACTACTACTACTACTACTACTACTACTACGACTACTACTACTACTACTACTACTACTGCTACTACTACTGCTACGACTACTATTTCTACTACCACCACCACCACGACCACTACTCCTGCTGCTGCTGCTGCTGCTGCTACTTCTACTAGGACGACGACGACGACTGCAAGGAATACGACTACGTCTGTCACTCCTGCTACTACTCCTCCTACTACTACTACTACTACTACTACTACTACTACGACGACAAGTACTATTCTTCTTTTTATTGTTATTCTTATTTATTATTGTTATTATTCTTCTTATTATTAGTAGTACTACTACTACCACAACCACCACCACCGCCACCACCGCCACGACTCCTCCTCCTCCACTGCTACTGCTCCTATTGTCACTACGGCTGTTTCTATGACAATGGCGAACCACGGACCATTACTTCTCGAGCCGGGAGGCACCTGCTTCGCGGATGTCAGCGAACTCTTTAGGGACTGGCGAGAAGTGATCGCAGACCCCAAGAAGGAGGGGTTGGGGTGTAGGGTTAAGACTCGAGAGTGAGGGCTTATGGGGATAGTATTCTGAGGGTGTTAGCCACTGGTGCATGTCAAATATCTGCTTCCGAGTTTGGAAGACGTTGCCGTGGCTTGCAAAGAGTTGATTTTCGATCAGGCTCTTCTAGTCTTCCTGGCATGCCGGGAAACGTCAAACCCACAGCTCTGCATTTGGACCTGGGTCGGGAAGACGATGGCAGCCGGAAATCGAAGTCTCACTGTAAGATAGCTTCTTGGCAAGATGGTGGTTTTGGAGTGGCTCTTGTCGTAGCATCTTGTGGGGTGCAAGAATCCAGTGATCTAGGGTTCAGGCTTGACTTTACTGAAGGAGCCCGAAATCTTCTGTGTAGGATTTTAACGTAACGTCCCTAGAACAGCAGGAAACAGAACTCCTAAACGACAGACGTTTTTTTTGGCTTAGTTAGGCTTCCAAGAATCATTGTTGCCGCTGCTCGCAGGGGCTGGGTATTGTGGTTTTTGGAAGAAGCCTGAGTTAAATCTCACAAGTGATACCGGGCTCGAGAGCACTATGTGCATTTTCCTCTTTTCCTGCGCATCGGGCTTCCTCACAAGATGCAGCAGAGAATGCAAGTTTAGAATGTTTTCAGAACCCAGAACAGCCGCGCGGGAAAACCTTTCAACCCCAACCCCCCCTCTCAAAAAACAGACAGATTCAACACTGGAAAGCCCTAAAACTCCAAACCCTTGACCACCAAATCCTATATAAATCCCTCGAATCCCAGTGTCCAAAGCCCGAAATCCGCGAACCTAAGGGGCCCGAAGCGCCAAAGCCCACCGGAGGACAAGAAGCTGCTGGATGCCAAGGTCCCCCTCGCGGTCGAGCCTTCGGCCCAGTCGTTGCTTTCCCTTGGCCTCCTGGTGTGACGACGACGACTACACCGCTACTACCGTTCTAGCAGCCAAATGGGGCTAGACCCTATAAGCCTAAATCAACCCAAGAAGCACTTTCAGTGCTACAGAGAGAGATTCGGAATCAGAAATCCCGACAAGCTCCGAGCATTTGACCTGAAACTGTGTCTCCGGATGAGGCGTACCCTGCTTCGTTGGCTGCGCTCTGCCGTGATTCTAGCGTGTCTTGGCGGCTCTAGGGTGTAGGACTGGGGTGCCGTCTTGCAGCAAGAAGGTCTAGTTGGTTTTGGGTTTAGGGTTTATTGATTACGGTTTAGGATTTGGGGTTAGGGTTTAAGCTTTGGGGTTGGGGTTTAAGATTTGGGTTTGGGGTTTTAGGGCTTATAAGTTTTAGGATCCGAAACCGAATACCCAAGGCCCTACGAGATCCTGCGCGAGACGGGCTCTGCTCGTTAACCCGGACTAGGTCTCGAAGCTCTTGGCCACAGCTACCTGCAAGGGAACCCCCAAAGCATTAAACCCCAAAGGAACCCCTGTAGTAGCCCCTATAACCGTTTATTGTAGCCCAAACAGTAACTGCTGAGATGAAGCCCC